GATAATAATAATAATAATAATAATAATAATAATAATAATAATAATAATAATAATAATGATAGTAGTAGTAATAATAGCAATAATAATAATTAGTGACACTGACAATAACAGTGATAACAATAATGGTGATAATAATAATGATAGCGGTGATAAGGATGATAATAGTAATGAATGACAATAATGATGATAATAGTGCTAATGATGATAGTCATGAAGATGATGACAGTAGCAGCGATAATGGTAAAATAATAATGACGATGATAGCAGCAGTGATAATGATGATAATAAGGATGATGTTAATAGCAGTGATAATGATTGCTATGATAACCTCCTGTTAGGGATGGTAGCAAAAATAATGGTATGGTAATAGTAATAGTAATAAGGATGATGATAATGATGGAATATGATTAAAAGAAAAATCAGCCAATCTTCTATTATTTAATTATAATTTTTGATCGTACAACTTTGAAACTAAAAGATGTTCTACTCTTTCAATTAAATGGAATTGACTTTTTCCTTTTTTTTTGTAAAAAGCAATGAGTATTCATGATTACCGTATTTTTCTTATAATTTATTTCATCCATACACTTTTCATAACCATTTATTTATTAGTCTCACTCTCTTTTTTTTTTTTGTTTTATTTTAATTAAAATCAAAAAAAGTCAATTTAAATTAAATTAGTGAATTTAATCATAATTTACATTATAAAGTTTGTTAAGTTATTTATTTATTTATTTTTTTTTGCTAGTACTTATTTATGTAAATTATTTGATTGCAATAATAAACAATTTAGGAAAGAAAATTCAATTAGCGTTCAGTTTTTTTCGCCATGTTATTCTTATGCAAATTTATTTTTACAACAATTAAATCATTTTTTAAAATTGCAAACAAAAATTCATCCAAAAGAAAAAAAAAAAAGAAGGCGGAGGAAATGAATTGAATTGAATTGAATTGAATTGCTATTTTTGGACAGGATGGAAAAATTGGTAAAAATAAAAAAAAAAAGGAAACGAAAAGAAATTGAATGCAAATAAAAAATATGCGCAAAAAAGAAGTCAAACATGCGGACAAATAAGACATGAATAAATATTGCAAATATTTTAT